GGGGAGAGTGGCAGGCAGGCACAGTCTCTGTTTGATTCAGTAAGTGGTTGTGGGCACCTACTCTATGTGGATTGGAGGTGGGGCATGGACAGGAAGAGGCTGGTGTAGTCTGGCTTGCAGGCAGCGAGTTGAGCCTCTTTTTGACACCCTCTCTGGGTGAGCCTGGCCCAGGCCTGTGCTCGGGGAGGAGAAGTGAAGGCTGAGCCATTGCCCAGCAGCCAGGGCTCTCCTGGTTGGTGGGATGCAGGTCCTTTCTGTGTCACCGATGGAGGCCCTGCTGGCCTGCCCACTTGCTTTCCCATGTCTCTAACATGTTGGCCTGACAGGGTTGTATAATACTTCCACTTGGGAGGCTCAGGCTTGTCTCCAGCCTCTCCTCCATGGGCCCCCACATCCAGTGGAGCCCAGATTAGGGTGGTTGTTTTTTTTTTGTTTTTTTTGTTTTTTTTTTTGTTGTTTTTTTTTTTGTGTGTGTGTGTGTGTGTGTGTGTGTGTTTAATTAATAGACTTTATTTTACAGAGCAGTTTTAGATTTATAGGGGGAAAATGAGCATTAAGTACAAAGAATTCTTACCCCAATTCGTCTCTTCTCCCCCCTCCACAGTTTCCCCTGCTTATTAATATCTTGCATTAGTGTGGTACATTTGTTACCGTGGAAGAACTAATATTGATAACGCCATCGCCACTCGTTTACAGTAGGGTTTGCTCTTGTTGTTGTACAGTCTATGGGTTTTGACAAGTGTATAGTGACATGTATCCACCATCACAGCATCATAAAGAGTGCTTTTATGACCCTACTGTTTCTCTCTGCACACCTATTCATCCATCCTCTCTTCCTCCTGGGAACCACTAGTTTTGTCTTCTCCTGAATGTCATAATGTCATAATAAGAGAGGAATATGCTAAATATTCCTTTATGCCTGAGGTGTAAAGAGCAACAGCATAATGACCAGATCATGGATCTGCAGGAGGGTGGGGCAGCAAACTACAAGTGGGTGGTGGAGAGCTACAGGAGGGGGCAGGGCAGCAAGCTATGAGGGCAGGCAGGGGAAGTGTAGCTTTAAATGCATTTTCAACTAATGATATTTTCAACTTACTGTACATTTATCAGATGTAACTGTAAGTCCAGGAGCAGCTGTGCTTTTTTAAAGTCATAGAACATCACACTAATACCAGTTAATATTAACTAATATTACTGCTAATGTTAATATTAGTGTTGTGAGTCATACAGCTTTGATTCCAGAGGTGGGAGCTGGGCACACATTTGCTGGGCACACATTTGCAGACAGATTCCCAGTGCCTGTGTACCCTCAGGGCAGAGAGAAGGAGGGTGAGGATAGACAGAAGGAGAGTTGGCCTGCACAGTCTGGGCCAGGACTGTCTCTCCCCACCACAGCGGCTGTGGCCGGAGCACTGCAGTCCATAGAGGTTGCTTCCTTCTCTCCTGTGGGGGTAGGGGTGGGGCATGGGTAGCTGTCTGCCCACAGAAGTCCAGGCCTTGACAGACAGCATGGACTAGTCCCAGAGCCAGGGGCTGGGGAAACAGGGTCTTAGATGATGCCCTTTGGCTCATTCCTAGTCTTTCCTGGAGATTCGAGAAAACAAGTTATTAGTCCAGACTGTTCCTTAATGATCTAATGAGAGCAAGGCAGCCTGATTGTTGGGTTTGAGAGCCCCTGTCGGGGTCTGGAGAGGCACCTACAATCACTAGGGCTCTTTGCTGGGCTGAAGGGGTTAAGAACTCACACCTTACTTCTCTGGAGGGGAAGTGGGCCCAACACCTGGGAGGATGGAGGAGGATAGGAGAGTAACTGTTAGCCTGGAAGGTTGCTAACTTGACATTCTCACCTCGAATCATGATTTTATTTTTGTTTAAGTTGGAAGAGTCCCTGGCGTCCACACCCTCCATTTGCAGAGAAGTCTAAGGCTCAGAGAGGGGAAGAGGCTCACCCAGAGCTCCCGTCCAGCTTTTCCTGTCTCGAAAGCCTGAATCCCACCCCCACCCCCCATTTTTATTCTTTTTTTTTTTTTTTTACTTGTTACACTATTTTTTAAGGCTTAAAAAAACATTCCAAGAAAAGAATAAGGACCCTGAAAAAAATAATCTATGCTATTCATTCGCTCTCACTCGGAGAAGCTGTTAGCTCTAATGACCTTTCCAAATTAATAAAATCTGTAAATGCTTGATTGTTTATTGCACACATTGCGTTACACCTCTAAAGAACTGGCAGGAATGTGTGCCCATCTGGAGAGCTTAGCTGCAGGGCTCTGCGGCCAGCACGGCTGTGCTCCCTTCCACCCCCGCAGCAGGAGAGCTGTGGTCAGGTTCCCTGAGAAAGGGCCACCTCCAGCAGCCTTGAGCAGCATACGGAGAGCTCAGCCTTGAGAGAGGGATTGTGGTAGATGAAAAATTTAGTGACAATCCCTGACCAGGGTCCTGCTAAAGGTTTCTTGGGAGAGGGGTCACTTCCAGACATGAGGACCTAAGCAAGGGTCCCGGCTTTTTGTTGAGGGCTCTCAGAGAAAGCAGAAGAGGGAGGTCTCTAGAAGGCTTGATAGAAGAGGGAACTTGATGGAGGTCCACAAGAAAGAGTAGGGTTACCCGGCCGGTATGGCTAAGTGGTTGAGCATCGATCTATGAACCGGGAAGTCGATGTTCGATTCCCAGTCAAGGCACCTGCCGGGGTTGTGGGCTCAGTGTTCAGTGTGGGGCGTGCAGGACGCAGTTGATCAGTGATTATTTCTCATCATTGCTGTTTCTCTCCCTCTCTCTTCCTCTCTGAAATCAATAAAAATATTTTCTTTTAAAAAAGAAAAAGAGTAGTATTAGATCAGGTGGGGGACACCGGAAAGGGCTTGTTAGGCAGGGAGCACAGAGTGAGCCATGGGTAACAATGGGGGTGCCATTGCAGCCCACGTGCCTGGGGAAGGAGGCAGGCAGAGGACATAGTGAATGGGACTGTTGGGGTGTTAGGAGGCCACATTCTGAGGGCGATGGTAGAGATGAGCAGAAGAGAATTCTGTTTCTCAGCCTTCGCACCTCTGCCTGCGACTGTGCTACACCAGCGCTGTGCTTGCCAGCCACGGTCTCTCTCTCTGGCCCAGCGCCCTCCTCTCCAGTGTGTCCTTGAGGCCTGGTGTCCGTCTCCCTGTCAGAGCTGTGGACGGTACAGGCCAACTTGAGAACAGGCCAGTTTGATGGACATGGAAGGAAGTCTTGTAGAGAAATGCTTTGTAGGTTGTGCTGCTATTGAAGGGGGATTTTAAAATTGTAAAATATGCACAGAGCAAACAATTTAGGTCATTAGCTATATTTAAGTGTACAATTTAGTGGGATTGAGTACAGTCATATTGTTGCACAGTCCTCGCCACGATCCTCTCTAGAACGTTGTCATCTTCCCAGACTGAAGCTCTGTACCGATCAAGCCCTAACTTCCCATTCCTCACTCCTCCCCCAGCATCTGGTAGCCTCTATTCTACTTTCTGTCTCTATGAATTTGACTGCTTAGGGACCTCATATGAGTGAAATCATATAGTATTTGTCTGTTTGTATCTGAGTTATTTCACTTCTCATAATGCTCTCCAGATTCATCAATGCTGTCGCATTTGTCAGAATTTCCTTCCTTTTTAAGGCTGAATAGCATTCCATTGTCGGTATAAGGCACATTTTGTTTACGCATCCATCCGTTGATGGGCACTTGTGTTACATCCATCTCCTGCTGACTGTGAATGATGCTGCTATGAACGTGGGTGTGCAAGTATCTGTTTAAGTCCCTTACAGGAGCATTTTGAGCTTTTCCAAAAAATGTGCTTTAGGCTTTCAAATGGTCAGGGCCGATCGCTTGCCCTCGCTGCTATCGCTCCCCGAGACACAGGCTGCCAGCTGGCCGCTGCCCACGTGCGCAGTCTTGTCTGCCTTGAGCGGAGTCATTACCCTCCGCCAGGGACGCAGTGTGAAGGCCGGACTCCGGCCCGCATGGCCTTCCCACGCCCCGCTAAGCTGCTCAGTCTGTGCCTTGGCCAGTGTCAAGGCCTCCTCGCCTTCACGTCTTGTCCTGAAACACATCCATCATGTTGATTTTGTCCCCCACTACGGTAGCAAGTGTTAGGTTCTCTCTCTTGGTAAGTTCTTTCTCCCACCTTCTGAAATGTATTTGGTTGTAGTTATAAAAGCCAAGGGAAATCGCTCATGCACTGTTCTCCCTCCTTGTTCTGTATCCTTCCGCCCTCCCGGCCCACTCCCTGCAAAAGAAGGACTAAAGGACATCCTTTCTTGAAGCATCACTACCTCTGGGCATTAATTGCCTCTGCAGACCCCCAAGTCACTTAAAACACATTAAAGTGGTGACACACTCAGGCAGAAGGCAGGAGGATTCACGGTGGAGGTTGGCATTGTCATTAACTCAAGTCTGTGGTGTCAGCTCCGCCCGCACGGAACGTCCTGCCTGGCCTGAGAGCCGACCCTCGCAATGCGTTCTCTGGCCTTTGTTGGTTTGTGTCAGCTCTTGAACATTATTTAAATGTAGTTTGGGGCCCATGCATGCAATTACCATTGTGTTATTATTCAGAACCAGATTGTTAAGATTCAGGCAGCTGTACAAGGAGATGCCCTGTGCTGTGAGGTCCAATTTAGGAGGGCCTTCTGTGCTGGCAGCAGGGTTGCTAGGCAACCCCATGCTACAGCAGAGGAGGCCTCACTCCAGAGTGGGAAGAAGCCCAGTGCCTTCAGGGAATTGGAGGCAGTGGTCAATCTGAGACTGGCATGGCGCCGGGGAGGGGGAGGGAGGCGGCATGGATGGAGCCCACGGCCTGGCAGGGGTGGGATTCTGCGGGGAGCCAAGGGCACCCACCCAACTAGCACAGGGTGTTCCTGGGAGGGGAGTGTGCTGCTGGGAGTGAGAATGCAGGGAAGGCGCAGAGCCGGAGGTCAGCCAGGAAACTGCCGAAGGATGCTCAGAGCAGATGCTAATATACTTCTCCATCCATTTCTTCTCTTTGCAGGAAATGAGCAGGTTTGCAGAGAAACTACTGGCCTGAAATTTAAGACAAAGGCATCGTTGCTTGTGAGTATAAATTTTGCTTTTTTAGGTCTGTGGTTTGACAGTATTCCTGCAGAGTGGGCGGGTTTCCCTGTTTGGGGAAGGGAGCGTGGCCTGACGGAATTGGCTTTCGGCTCTTCTTCTGGAAGGTGCCTCTGGCTGGGTGGGGCTGGACCGGGACTATAGGCTTTGAGTGGAAGGCACATGGTTTGAACCCAGCTCTGCCCTCTAAGTTGAGAGCGCTCCCATGGCTCCTAAAAGAGTGTCCTCCCTTGTGGTCGCTCGCACAGGGAGAGGAGGGCTCCTCCGGGATGAGGAAGATGTGCCACAAACAGTTTGCACAATTCTAAGTTTGGTGCTAGGCGGACCCCATTCAGAATAGTAAATTCTCAGATATACCCTTTAACAGTGTGGTAAACTATGACCCAAACCTTTCCTTAAGCTGAGAATATCTGGCACTGGCTGGAGCCTCTGAAATATAAGAGAGGCAGCAGCCGGGGCCCTGGGATGGAGCTGCTGTCCGTCCAGTGTAGGGAGAGAAGACAGCTTTAATGAGACCATCGAAAACTGTATGAATGGGCAGTCCGTCCCGCTGTGGCTCCCGTGGCTCAGGCAGAAATGCTGGTGACAAAGAGAAGTTGGGAAGACTTCCTGGGGAAAGAGGGACTCGAGCGGGCTGGTGGAGGAAGGAGGAGCAGGGCAGAGGCACCGGGTGGGGAGACCAATGGCCTTGAACGAGGCTTTCACAGACATGGGTCTGATGGGGAGCTGGCGAGGTTGGGCAGGGCCAGGTGGTAAAGGGCTTTGAATGGCTTCAGAAATGGTCCGTGTGCAAAGAGTCAGGCTGGAATCAAATCTCCCTCGTTTCTGCAAATAAAATTAAGTTTCTGCCAGTTTGTGACTTGTGCCACAAATGGGTTTTTCACCTCCCCCAAATTCAAGGTTGTATTTGATATCTCTATATACACTAGATTATAGGAAATTCACATTGGGGATCCTCCCTATATTTCTCTCTCTCTTTCACATACACACACACACAGCCCTCCCCTTACAGCTGCAGCCTAGGGCCTCCAGACACCATGACATCAATGATGGAGACACACCCTGAGTGCCAGATGGACAGTCACCAGGACAGGTCTCCCAGCGTCCACTTGCTTATCCCCAGAGCTGCTCCTCCCACAGGGAGCTCTGTGAGACTATGCCCAGAATGAGGGGCCGCTGGGCTGTATTCGTTTAGCAGAGGTTAATTAATTATTTGTTCCAAGCAACCAAGGGAGCTTCCAAATGTCAAGAACAACCACCAGTATTTACGCTGAGTCGCCAATGGCAGCACGCTCGACATCACCTCACGGGCCTCAGAGGCTCCATCAGGCATGCCATTGTGCAGATGAGGAAACTGAGGCTCCGCATGGTTAAACGTTTGGTTCAAGTTCGTTCAGCTAGTGAGTGGTGGAGCTGACTTGCTTCGGCAGGTACTAGGTACCTTCTGGGTCTGCCCCGCCTCCTGCTCCTCCTTCTGGGGAGGAAGAGTACAGGGGTCTGGTTGGGGAACTCTCTGTTCTGATGGTCCCCGTTTTGCTGCACTGGCTTTCATGGATACATGGTGTCGGCCTGGTGGTCTTTGGCTGGGCAGGAAAGTGATTATGGCTCTGCCCATGAAGAAGGAGTATCGTGTGTGCTCCTGTCACCAGGGACAACCCTCTGGGAAGACACAAGGGGGCTCCATTTGGAGCCATTGGTGACTGAGTTAGGTTAGGTTCTCTGGAAACAGAGCCTGAGACAAAGGTTCAGGTGCACTGGATGCATCTAGGTGAGGTCTAGGGAACTCTTGTCAGAGAGAGGAAAGCAGGAAATGGAAGGAATGGCTGAACAATGATGGGACAGCACAGGCGTCTCCTTGGCTTGATCCAGGTGACTTGCACTGCAGATGTCTGTACTGGAGGCAAGGGACAGGCCTCACCTAGGCCCTCATTAACCATCGAGACCCAGAGTGGTGCTGCTGACGCAACCTCGAGGCATCCTCTTGACCATGAGAAGGGGTCCGAGTACATCCCAGGTGAAAGTCGCTGGGGAGCGGGCGCCCAGCAAGTAGAGGGGATCTGAGTAGGGCATCTGTTGCATTTGCCCCTGCGGAGCGCCCCTGCTGTGAGTTTTTACCTGACCTGGCAGTAATCTTCCTTCTAATACGTTTGTATCTTAAAGAGTGTGGGTGTTCAAATAGAAATCAGTGGTGTCAGAGTCTGTTTTCACTGAAACACTGTGTGCCTTTTAACTAATTTTATTCTTAATAAAGCCCCATGGCTCTACATTAAAAAATACAGAAAGTATACTGTACAAAGCCTTCTTCCCAATGTTTCTGGGATTTCGTGTTACTTTCCAGTGATGGTTTATGCACCCCAACAAAAAGGTGTGGCTTGGTGATTCTGGTGCAGAATAGGTCCCCAAGAGTCAGAGCAGCGGGGCTATTCCAAAGGGATGGAGCTGAAATGGGTCTTTTGTTTGGAGAGAGAGCAACACCCTGAGTCAGCTCTCCTTGGAATGTTCAAAACCCACGAAAACTTGGCAAGCATTTCCAAACTCCTTAGAATCCCTATGTAAATAATTGATATCAGAATGGCCAATTATTATTTCCTCATTACCACAAATCACATACGAAGAGTTTGAGATGCTGTGGTGCAGCCCTTGAAATTTCCAAACATTTAAAATAATTTAAAACCTCCCTGAATTCACTCTTCATCCAAATCACTGCAGTCCTGCCATCTGCATATTGTCCGGGACTTACCGAAATGCATGCTGTTCCCAAAGCGTGTTTAGATCCGCAGTGTCAGACCGCGTGACTGTTCACTGTGGTTCCCTTTAATGGAGCGACTGGACTGTAACTGGGAGGTGCTTTCTCCTCACAGGGGCGGGGCCGTGATAGACAGGCTCCTTGGTTGGCCAGCTCCCTGTCCTAGGAGGTGTCCAGAGGAGAGTCGGAGGTGTCAGGAGTTGAGAGAGTGGCTGGGTCATCTGTCAGCTGAGTCACGCAGGAAATTTACCCCACGTGACAGGCAGGCTTAGGAGGCTCTGAGAGTCTGGTCTGTGCAGCTCCTTGTTGTTATTGCCTTGATGGCCATTCGCCTCCCTTGAAATCTGGACAGGGCTCAGCCTGTGTGCTTATCTTCCAAGTTTTGCTTCCACAGGTTTTGTCTAATGCCTAGACATGTCCACATAGAACTGACTGTAGAACCACATAGGCCTGGCATGTATGTTTTTCTCTTGCAAGCGAGCCCCTTGCTTCCAGTTCTTCTTCATGTTGATGCTCTCTCTCAGGTTGCAAGAAAATCCTCTAACTTTGGTTTGACCTGTTCAAACCCAAGACAGATGTTGCTGGCACCCCCACGAGGCAATGAGGAAAAAAAAAAAAATCTCATTTCCGCCCGAGAAATAGAATCATTATCTTGATTGAAATAATATCTTGCCTCAACCTGCAACCAGATAAAGCATCAAATTGGTGGCATTTTCTTATCGCCGCCCAGAGTGTGCAGGACACAGAGTAATGGCCTGTCAGCTGCCTCTGGTGGGGTGGGACTTCTATGGCAGAGCCCACAGCTCGCGGCCCGATTTGGATTACACGCTGTTTGGTGCCACAGAGCACGATTTCATTCATGACAAATATTATATTCAAAGGGGAAGTTAGTGGAGAGCCTAGAACAGTGCAAGCAATAAAAGCAGCCATTATTACGGTGATTGTTTTTAATTAGCTTCCCACAGATGGGCAATTGCAGGAGTGATGAGAGCAGTAGATGTTCATGTCCTTTCAGGCTGTGAATGCCCTGGAACCTGGGCCCCTGGGCCTCTCGGCCTGAGCTTCCCAGGACTCCGTCAGAGTAAGGGCATGACTGGGCTTGAGAAGGCAGACAAGATGCTGGTTTGGGGTGGAGAACAGGACATCCAGAGGCCAACAAACCAATATCTTTGGGAAGGAAACAGAAAGAGTGGAGGACAGGGAGGCGGGGGGTCTGGATTCCAGCCCAGGCCTTCCATTTCCACCATGCAGCTTTGGTTTTCAGGGCTCAGTCTCCTCATTGTTCAGAGAGGGTAAATGGGGGTGTTAGGAGAAAGAGGTGAGGTGTTGTTTATGCAAAGTCTAGGATGCTGGCTGTACCCTCGGTCCCCCCTGTCCACCGTGGGAGGAGGCTCTCCTTCATTCTGGAAATGTTTAAGTGCCTACTCTGTGACGGGCGTGTTCTAACCATTTTGCATGTATTAAATCACGTAATCCTCACAACAATACTACACATTACAAACACATATAGTCCGCCTTTTATAAGTGTGAAGGAACAGAGGGGCTAAGTAAGTTGCCCTAGGTCACACAGCAAGTAAGTGGTGGAGCTGGGATTGGAAGCCAGACGGTCTGGTTGGAGCATTTGAAAACAAAATAGACTGCATCCAGGCTAAATGAAATATTACAGCACATTGGGCTTTTCCTTGAGCTTCAGCTATAATCCTGTGAGAGGCAGAAACAATTCTAATAGCATCTTTGTAATGTTTCAGGAGGCATAGAGGTGGTCTCTTCGGTAGAGGAGGAGGGTAGAATAATATTTTAGCCAAGGTTCCTGACCTTGGGCACCTGGAGGCTCAGATCCTCCTTCCCACGGCATCCTGCAGAGCTCTGCCCAGCTGGATGAGCACTGGAGAGCAGCAAGGTGTGCAGAACTTGTCCCATTTACCTGGCCCACCCCAGCTTCCCGTAGAATCCTTCTGGGTCCTTGGGCTCTGCTGTCTGTCAAGCCTTCCCCAGAGAAGGAAACCGTCCCTCACACTCTCCTCTCTCCCAGGCACCACATACGTGAGACGAAAGCCTGTGCTTCAGAACCTTGTTCTCAAGCAAAGACCTGGTCCGTCAGTGAGCATGCCTCATTACCATGGTAATCACCAGCCAAAGGGAGGGATTTTCTAATACATTTCCATCAGAAATGTGGACAGGTGTGCAGGGAAATAGACATGTATCAACAAGATAGGTGTGGGAGATTAACAATGGA